TGCATGATGCATCCAGTCAATGACTAATAGTCTGTCATGAAAAGCAAATCGCAATAGGCTATAGTTAATTTACACTGTAAAGACTATTAATGTCAAGCTAATAAATTAAATTTCTAATAAAAGCCTGCATTTAATACTTATTTGTGATAAAAAAATAAATAAATAAATAAATAAATAATAATAATAAAAGAATCTAGAAAAATATAAAAGATAATCAAATAAAAAGAACTGGTTTTAATGAATGTGAATACTAAACTTTATAAAGAAAAAAAATATAAATTTAAAACTTATCAAAGTCAAAATATATTTTAATAATTTATATAATAAATAAGTTAATATTCAGATTAAAATGCCTTAAAATGAACAAAAAGATCTTGTTTCTTATAAGATTGTTATAAAAATTAGATATTAAAATATAATAATAAATAATATTCTTGTATAAGATAGTTTATCAAAAAAGTAAACAATAAATAATAAATTATTAATAAATATATCAAAATAAAATCAAGAAAAGTATGAGTTAATAAATTTAAAATTAATAGGTTTATATATAACATTTAGTATAAAAAAATAAAAAATAAATATATACAAATATTTTTTTAAAAACTTTTAAAGAAAAAAAATTTTTTATCAAATTATTAACAATAAATTATTATGTCAAATAAATTAATTATAAAAAAATCAAACCTATATAAACAAGTAAATTGTATTATATATAATAAATAAATAAAAATTATAAAATACAAATTAAAATATTTAGCTTATAAAACAAATTATAAGAAATATAAAATAAAAGGTAAAAACAAGTTTTTAAAAAATTTAAATATTTTTAGTAAGAAAAAAAAACAAAATAAATAAAAAATATTAAGTTAATTATAAATAATAAAGAAAAACAAGAGAATTACCGTATATAAATATATAATTAATTTAATAAAATGAACCTTAAAAATTAATTAGAATATATTAAACTTTTTTTGTATAGAACTGATAATAAATGATCTTATTATAGATGCAATAAATCTGAAATATCATAAAAGAAAATTGAATAAAAAAAAACAAGAAAATAAATAATAAATATATAGAAAAAATTATATAATTAATTTTTAAAAAAAGTTTAAAATATGAAATATAAAAAGATAATTAAATAGAAACAAGTACAAATGATTTATAAAGATAAGAAGATGAAAAGATTTCAAGTTTACTTGATTAGAAATATCATGATTTAATATTTGAAAAAAAAAAATTGGAAGATAAAAATTTAAAGAAAATTTTAATAAAAGAATTAAATATATAAAATAATTGAATTTAGAATAATTTATAGTAATAATCTATAAATAATAATAATAGAAATTAGAAAAGTTCTTATTCAAACTTTTAATAAAGTAATAAATCACTTCCAAAGTTATAAATAATGATAATAATCAAAATAAGTAATTAGAGATTTAACTTTAATGTCGTATTTTATAAATTGTATAAATATTTAATAAAGTATTACATAACTAGCCTAAAAAGAAGTATAAAAAAAAATTAGCAGTTTTTACATACTAAAGCTATTTAATTTTTAGATTAATAAATTTAACGACCAATCAGATCGATCCAACTTTCGATTATCGGAATTTTCTGACGACCAGTAAATCACAATGTTTTCCTCTCGTATCAAACAATCCTTTTTACATTCCAACGAATTCCCGATATGTCATAATAGCATTTGTACCATAGGCCTCATCGTTCGCCCGCTATCAACAAGTAACAAGTGCTGGATCAAGCATGCTCCAAGAAAACATTGGACATCACAAATATTCCTAACGAAAAAGTCAGCAAAAAAAACGAACGCCCCGAGGGGAACACTCATCCCAAAACACCCCAAGCAAGTATCGCGGAGAACGCGGGGCTACATTCCCGCAAGGTTCCGATTACTTCCAATCGAAAGTGATGTCAAATTAGGTGGAACAATGCGTGGGAAAACCCACGATGGGTCATGCAACCTTGGAAACGCCACGCGAGATGCTGACGTCAAGGGTGAAAGGTCAATTATGCGTACGGTGAAAGGTACAACGAGAGAAGAACAACTGAAACTTTTCCGCCCGAAAAAAAAGCACGCAGATTTCCGATTAGAAGATTGCACGTTCGAATCATTCAACCTAATGCCAGAAGTTTATGAGGCGGTGAAACGGGGACCACTAAGTGAGATTTGTCCACTCGTGCCCACGGAAATTCAAGCGCTGACCATTCCCGAAATATTGAGGTCCGATGACAGACACATTTTGTGCGCCGCGGAAACCGGTACCGGAAAGACCTTAGCCTATTTGTTGCCAGTGATAAACAAATTAAAGAAGGAGGAAATGGGAGCGCATGTGGAATCGGAAAAGATCGAAAAAATGATCCCGTCCGCCTTCAAAGAGGTGGAAGAGGAGAGGCAACTTAAAGTCATGAGAAAATCGGCAGTTCGAAGTTTCAATCGTCCCCGAGCTGTCATCCTTTTGCCATCACGAGAACTCGTGAAGCAGGTCTTATCCGTGGCAAAACATATGACGCACTTTGCGAAATTTCGGGCGGTCGCGATTACATCGCACATGGATCGTAGTTTTGTAAGAAGGACTTTGCAGGCGCCAGTTGACATTGTGGTGGCAACACCGGGAGGCCTTTTGGAGTATGTGAATAACAAGCTGGTCAATCTGACCGATACAAGATACCTTGTGATCGATGAAGCGGATACCATGTTTGGCAAAGGATTTGGGGAGGAAGTGGAAGAGATTATAATGAAAGTGAAAGGGCACGGTCAAAGACAGAACAGACAATTTCAAGTGATCGTTGTATCAGCGACTTTACCGAAAACTGTCAACGAAATGTTAGAAAAAGAATTTCCATTCATAAAAAGAATCACAAGTCATTCACTTCACAAAGCATTACCGAACCTTCGGCATGATTTCATCGATATGAAGGATTACAACTTTAACAAGAGTACCGCCATCTTGGATGTCCTGAAGAGGACCCATGACTCAAATGCCAGCACCATGATATTCTGCAATACACGAATCAGTGCAATGGGTCTCGAAAGTTTTCTGAGGTCAAAAGGCCTTCCGGTGATTGGATTATTCGGCGATGTCGACGAACGAACCACGAAACTTGAAGCATTTCGTAATCAAGATTCCGATGCAAGGATATTGGTGTGCACAGATCTGGTCTCAAGAGGAGTTGATACCACGTTCGTGAAACACGTGATCCTATATGACTTTCCAACGACGGTGGTGGACTTTTTACATAGAGTGGGTAGAACGGCAAGAGCTGGTAAAAGTGGTAGGGCGACCTACTTTGTTACCAAGAAAAATCGGGAGTTGGCAGATAGGATAAAAAGGAATATCAGAGATCGGCGAGTGTTATCGTAGATGGAAAGTAATCTCGCAGAAACTAGGCAGCATTCCAGATTCCTCCAAAATAAACGAGCTGCCTTTTCATGATAGAAAAAGCACCAATGGTTACACGACATCACGATAAAAGAAGAATTGGAATGTATGAGGCGTAAAGACAATGAAATCAAGATTTCGACTTATGATTGTAAACGGAAAAAAAAAAAAAATAACAATTTCAAAAAGGTAATATTCTTCACACAAGTGCAATACGTGGTTTCCACGTTTCTTCTTTTTCATCTTTCTTTCTTTTTTTTTTCCGCACGTAATCGGTGTTACCTTTCAAAAAAGTCAAATGTTTGGCCCGTATATCGAGGTCAAAAGATAAGTGATGGTGATTATCATTTCACTGTTTTACGACGTTAAGGCATATGCATGTTGATGTCGAATTAAAGTTACCTGAAATATTTTGAAACACAGTGCATCGTTATAAATCACTTGACTCACACTGCGTGTTACGTAACGCCCTCCTACATGTTGTATATAAAAATAATTTCATTTTAGGTATTTTAGGACATAGATAGGGGATTAAGAAGTTGAGAGCCCGTCGGGTCGTATCCGCACCATTACGATAAGTATTACTCTTAGAAATTTAGATTGATATCAATTTTTATGCATTGTATTTCGTTTCACCCGGACCACTTTACTTGGGATTGGTGAACGACAAGTGATGCAAGTGTAATGTACTCTCTCTCTCACCAAATCACAAAATCGGGAATAATATACAGTAACAATGTGCTGTTCTAGATTGCAAATCGTATCCTGTATATCTATAAGATTTCTCGTTT